CCCATATAGCATAGAATAAAGCGAATAAAAATAATTTTGTTTTATTTATAAAATAAGATGGCTGTAAGTAACTGTAACAACTAACTACACATTTACATTGTATTAAGTATCTGACATGTCCTACATCCTTGCCTTAATCTTGTAACGGATTTATAGAATTTAGACAAAAGAGGCAACATACTCACAAAACTAAGTCAAATTTGTGCATATGCTGATGATGTAATAATTATGACCAGAAAATAAAAGTGAATTGCAGAGAATATATCTGGCTTTAGAAAAGGAAGAAAATCACTTTGGTCTTTTTACAAACATAACAAAAGCAAATCCATCTTAATACAACTAAACGTGTAAGTATAAGAGAGAGGAAGTTGTGTACTGGAGACAAAAAATTTGAAATGGTACAGAAGTTTAAATATCTAGGGGCAGTAATAGATGAGAAAAATAATATAACACACACCATACGAGAAAGAATACAATCCAGCAATGAGGCATATTATGCCAACCCAAAGTTACTAAAACCTAAGGATATAAATAGGAATTTGAAAATATATAAAACATTAATATGTCCTGCAGTAACATAAAGCAGTGAGACATGGGTATTAAAGAAAGAGGGTGAAAATAATTTAAGAAGATTTGAAAGAAAAATTATTAGGAAAATATATGGGCCAATAAAATAAGTAGAGGGCCCCACCATAGCTCAAGCGGTTAGTCACTGGCTTCCCACCGCAGTGGCCCGGGTTCGATCCCGGGTCTGGTCAAGTGGATATGTGGTGGACAAAGTGACACTGGGGCAGGTTTTCTCCAAGTACTTCGGTTTCCCTTGCCAATCTTCATTCTACCAACTGCTCCACAATCACCCTCACCTATTATCTGGGGCTGGTACAATAGGGCAGAAGTGACCGCAGTACAAGGGACTTAGTCCCACCCCACTAGCAATAAAAAAAAAAAACAAGAAGAGCAGTGAAGAATTAGAAACAATGAATAGATGAGATATTGAAGAAAGAAGATATAGTTAGATTTATAAGGGCAAGAAGAATCAACTGGCTGGGACACATACAAAGAATGGATGCTAACAGAAAGCCACAGAAAATCTTGTATGAGAAGATCTAGTAAGAGGTAGACCAAAATTGAGGCGGTTTGATGATGTCAGGGAACACCTTATGATACTGAAAGTTAAAGATTCTAGATCCACTGCGATGGACAGAGATGCTTGCAGGCTGTTGGTGAGAGGTCAGGGCCCACAAAGAGCTGTAGAGCCAGTTGCTATGGTATGGTAAACACATTCTAATTTCTGTTCTTACTACTGAACATTCTTCAGCATGTAAATACAGGGTGGAGCAGAGGAAACACATGTTTTTCACATAAGAATATCTTTGCCGATTTTCAAGATAAAACCTTTTTAATTACACAAAAAACGTATTTTAATGCATTTTAACTTACATTATGTACAGAAAATAATGTCAGTCAGATGACGTCCTTCTTGCTGGACACACTTTTGGGGCCTCTCCTCAAAATTCTGCATCGCATTCTCCAACATGTCTTCTGGCACAACTGCGATTTCTTGACGAATGGAAGTTTACAGCTCTTGGATCGTTCATCATCTGTTCATGTACACTCTTCCCTTGAGGCATCCCCACAAAAAAAAAATCACAAACCGATAGATCAGGGGAGCGTGGGGGCCAAGAAACATCACCAAAATGGGAGATCACACGTTGGGGGAACATGCGTCGAACAACTTCCATTGATGCTCTCACTGTGTAAGCTGTGGCACCATCCTGTTGGAACCACATTTGTCTCATGTTTACCCTACACCTTGGGAGTTCTGGATGCAGGAAGTTGTTTAACATGTCAATGTAGCATGCCAAAGTCACAGTAACTGCAGTCTCCCCTTCCCCCTCCCCTTCCTGCAGGTCTGTAAATGTCTATAACTATGTGTTTATATCTTTATCAGTATTAAGAATCATATTCATGTTATGACATGCTGAATCCTTGGCTTTGTATTATGAAAGATCTAAGAAGTGTAAATAAATCCTGTTTTGTTCTGTTCTGTAGTTATCATAGTTTTAGAGGAAGCAGTCCTGAGGGTAGAAAATGGAGACAGTAGCTGTCCCACCTGAGATTTGAATCAGGCATCTACTGAATACAAGTCAACTACAAGCCTCCTGAGAAGTCAACACTGGTACCAAAGACTACAATCTCCCATCCCCATAATCTGTCTCCCAAGGTAATGTTATAAAACATATATTGGCCTGACTACTGACACAAATACTATAATTACAAAAATTTGAAGAGATAACATGGTAACAAAAGAAATGAGACCCAGTTACCTACAATAAAGATCACAGATTATTTCACTTATCTTGGAAGCAAACTTGTTAATACTGGGAGATTACAGGTTGAGATAAAAAGATTAATTAGGAAGAATGGAAGCGTTTATCAAGGCCTAAAATTTACAAAGTTGGAAAATTGTAGAGAAATGGGAAGTATAGAAGCTACTGCAGATTAATATCAACTTGCTGCGCTGAAACACTAACAAGGAACAAGAGACTGTGGTTGTCTGAAACTGGTTTCATGAGAAGAGACAACTGGAATACTAGTGATGACAGAAACAAATTATTTATTAAGAATGAGGACTGGAGGAAGGTGCTTTGAAAAAATACTGCACAAGAAAGGGTATCTGTGAGATGCCTGAGGAGTGGCATGTGTGTGTATGCTGTGACATCTCAAATGTTGCTTCAGTTGTGTTCAGAGTGATGGTATATTATTCTATGCTTATTTACAATAACAGCTTGTCGTGCCATAGCTCAAGCGGTTAGTTGCTGGCTTCCCACCGCGGTGGCCCAGGTTCGATCCCAGGCCTGGTCAAGTGGGATTTGTGGTGGACAAAGTGAAGTTGGAGCGGGTTTTCTCCAAGTACTCCGGTTTCCCCTGCCAATCTTCATTCCACCAAATTCTCCATCATCATAATCACCCAGGGCAGGCTACAATAGGCCAATCAGTGGCCTCCATGCCGAGTGGACCCAGTTGCACTCCACTCCCCACTAAGCAAATTTAAAAAAAAAAAAAAAAATTACACTAACAACTTACAAGTGGTTTCCAAAATGATGCATTCACTTCTGCTCTGAAGATGGAAGCAGTATACTCATTGGAAACATTCTTAACCACCAACTGAATTATATGGCATCATAACCCATAAAACCACAATATGAATCTTCACCGCCCTAAGAATCTAGTATCAGTGACTACGATTTTCTATGCTGCACCATGTTGCTTATTGTAACTATAAATCCACTATTCCAAAGTGAACTTACTGTACACACGGTTGATTCACTTGGGGGAGCGCCCAATTAATAATTATAAATCACACAATATCTTACTGAAGGAAAGGAAACTTGGCAACACTGACTGCCTGCCCGCCCAGGTTGCATCATCTCCTTCACTTCAGCAGTCCACGTCATGCTAGATGCAACATTTATGAACATGGTGCATTATGTCAGCCTGTTTCTCTAGGTGGAGGGAAACCAATTTTAGTGTCTTGTGTAACCCAATATATGTACATGTATGACAGTATGTACTTACCAAGTTCCATTTTCATATATAAATTAATGCATGATTTATAATCATTAATACACAGCCTCTTCCAAGTGAATAACTCTGTAGCATACAGTCTGGAAATTCAGTAAGGATCATTTTTTTCTACTTTTATCTTTCAGCCCCTTTATTCCTTTCATTCCTTTATTTTCCTCCTTGCATTCTCCTTTAAAACACTGAATTAAGGTACATCCTTATCCTTCAGATTACACAGTTTCAAACACAGAACTGCTACCTACGTAAGCATGTGAAAATTACTACAGCGTGAGAACATAACATGTGAACAGACAGTCAACAAGCATCTCCTATTATATATGTATATAAAAATTTTCATAACATGTAAATGAAATATATCAAAAGACATTTTGATTTATTCTGTTACAGTGAGCTGGTTGAAGTAAGACTCATATTCAGCAGATGCTGCATTCGAATCTCGGCAGATACAGCATCTGTCCTGGCTAAGGTTTTCCATGATGTTCCTCAGTCACTCAAGCCAAGTGCCAGATCACAAACTCTCACTTCCAAATACTTTCTAATTCATCAGTCGTCCCATCATCTGACGCTTCGTAGTCTACCAACTGACAGCATTATACAATAAGCCACAAAGTAACTTATTCCAGCTATACTATTAAATATGATCCAACACTGGCAATTTTATCAATTTAATGAAATCAATTTAATCCATTTTATTACACTATAACAATTGCAAACAAAAGTGTGCCAAGCTGCATTGAATATAGTGTAATATAGTGAACCAGAGGATGACTAGTTGTGACCAATTGACTCATACAGGACCCTGCATTTTTCATAGACTGGTGGGTGAGGGGCACTGTCAGAAAAAACCCATCATGTGAACTAGGATTTGAGGTTCTCACAGCGGAGGTTATGAACAGTTCTACTGTCTGGGATATAACGCTGTGTAGTCTGTTGAAAGTCAACTGATGTTTCAAAAGAAAATGTCACCTGCATCTTAAAGTTTAAGAGTACTCCAAGCAAGAAACTGCAAGCAGCTAAAGTTGCTTTCCTTGCTGCCTGCTTCAACCCTTAAGATCGAGGCAACAGTTTCATTTCATACCCCGGAAGACAGAACTTTTCCTCTTGTGAAGGTTGCATAACTTTCTTTTTGGCACATTTCATCAAAGATGGAATGGTCAGGGCAGGCTCAGATATAGAAATAAAAATATCCCCCCCCCTAAAAAAATCTTTCAAGAAAAAATTAGGTAGTATAATTCAATTAAGGGAACACAGAGGAAGACAAAATTTACTGAATGAAGATGGATAAAAAGAGGAAAGTGACAGGAACATGGAATAAGAAATGCAAATCACTTCACACAGCAACAAGCTATTGTACTGGATGGTTCCAAGGAAGAAGATGATAGAAAGCAAAAGCCAATTCTGGATAATATGTAGACATTTTAAGAATAATCAACTGTATATCAGAAAATAACAGTACATCAAGTAGATGAAAAACAAAACATCTGGGCTGGGATTGTTTGGTTTCTGGATTTTGTCCATCTAACAACATGTTTCAGAAAAGGGACCTGTTCCCATCCTCTGGTGAAGAGGTGGGGAAAGAACTGTCCAGTTAGAGAGATTAGTATTTTCTAATTCTTCCAACACAGTAGGTCCCTTCCCACTTTTACACCTAGGGATACAAAAAGGTCCAGCTTCTGAAACAGAGTAAAGTGCAGTCACACTTCATGTGAATTTGAAACAGTGCAATATAAAAATTATTAATAAAATCTCACTTTATGTGCAAAGTGTCAAATAATGCAAATCCCAAAAAATTCAGCATCCATCTTACTTTACATTTATTCCTATGAAGACACTTGTCTTGAATTAAGCGATGTCTTCAGGAACACATCTTTGCATAAAATGCAACTGCACTGAAATCGATGATGGATGGAGTCCAGAGACTGAGTGATACTAAGTGTAATATACCATCATCAGAATCCTTTAGAATTAACATATTTGAGCTGCCTTAATACTGTAAATCACCACGACAAAAATTAATAGTCCTTCAAGCTAAGTAAATGCCAGTGCCATTATAATGTCCATCCTGTTTCCATTGCTTAAGAGAACAACAGCTACAACAGAACATGAGAAACCCTGTTGTGAGTTCAGTGTGGCCAGTAAGAGATGTAAACACAGTTACCATAATACCAACATTACATGAATTATTACCCTGAAGTACCGTGTAGTAACAAGAGATCTGCAGTCACTCTCAGGATGGTGTCAACTCTTGCATATCATCCATCATGTTGAGTGCTTCGTTGGGAGCTGCATAATGTGCTGATGAATGAAACTCTGAAAACAGATCATCACAAAAAACATGACACAACATACTACCACACCCAGCCAGTATCTGGTAAGCATAAGTGGATTAATTTTTAAGGTTATTTATCAGTACAGTAGTTTTTGGCAAGATATGTTACATAGAATTCCCATTTTCATGTGGTTTAGATACAATATAAGGCAAAAATATAAATATGGTATGTTTCATACAGAGCCGGGGTAGTGCAGTTGGTATAGTGACTGGCTACAGCCTGTACTAATGAGGGGTCAGAGTTCAAGTCCCGGTAGGGTCAAGAATTTTCTTTTCTCCAAATCGTCCAGACCACCTCTGGGGTCCAGCCAACCTCCTATCCAACCAGTACCAGAGGCTCTTTCATGGGGGTAAAGCAGCAGGGGCGTGAAGCTGACCACTCACCTCCAGCTAGTGCCAAGGTCAAGAAAGCGTGGATCTACACATCCACTCACCCATACGCCTTCATGGCGTAGTGCTTAATTCGTTGAGCACAGGGACAACTTTACCTTTTACCTTTATATTTCATACATGGAATTTTTGTTGGACTACGAGGTTAATGTTACAAGGTCATTGCACTGACATTGGGTTAATGACTTATCAGCTGTCTAAAAGAAAGGAAGAAAAATATCCTAAGGACAAGCTAGACTCTTCCTCCTGAGACAATTTTCCACTACTCAGTGCCTAGGAAAGAAATTAAGCAGATTTTCCACTTCCCATGTCCAGGGGCCCTGAAAAATTCCATCTATTCCCAATTCACATATTTTCATTTTCCCTCCTTTGATGGAAAACAGTATTGTGGTCCTGAAAGGTGTTGTCCTCTCTACACTTCCACCTCTCGTGTTGAAAAACAATACTGTGGCCCTGAAAAATGCCTTTACCTATCTACATGCACCACTGGCCTGGACTGGGCTCTTTGCCTTATCTCAACCTGTGGGTATGACGATATGATTTTGTAAAATATGAAGTTTTCACACAATATAAATGCACTAAAATCTTCTCAAGTTATCAGCTAAGACACTCCCATCCATTCTGCACAACTTTGGTGCATAAACAACCACAGAATCCATGCAGATCTATAAATGAACACAGTGCTCAGTGAAATAAAAAAGTGGATACCAAATACTAAGAAAATTACAATGTCTCACTAATGAACTAGCAGGGAACCTACTAGATAATAACGAAACTACACACAGACTGAAAAGATACAACATCCTAACTCTACCAGACAGACCTGTGTAAAACTCCGATACAAGAATGGAAATGATAACTACGTGAAAAAAAAAGTATACGAGTTATGCCACTGGGCATAACTCATTCATGAGCCAGTATTTACTGCAGATTCTGCAGATTATGTATAATAAATTTGAAGAAAAAAGTTATCAGCCATGTAAATTTGGAAGACAAGTCTTTCGGAAATATTTCTGTTATAAGCTGATATGGCAGGTAGTCTGATAAGCTTTTCCACATTAAAATAAGTTTTATTAACAAAATATGTCATACAGACAGTTCTGAGCCTGCCTGCAACTTTCTTGGTTGTGACTGAAATCATAGCTGAATATAGACATCTTTCTTGGGAAACAAGCTAATTTTCTGACAGCAGAGTTGAAAAATTACATCATCGTAGCAGAAAATATGAACATTAATATTCAGGAATTTTATATAGACAAAAAACTGTGAACAGAGATACATATGCACTAAATTCTTGTTTAATAAGCATTCAATTAACAAATGTGATGCCCTGTTGTCTGACAGAAGTTGACTGATGATTTGGAGGAACATATTGCCACCATCTTATATCAAACAGTAAGCCAAGCAAGCTTCCAGCAAAAAACTGGACACTCATATTACAGAGTATCCTGTTCATGAACCAGGGTCAAGTCTTGTTCCAGAGGCTCATCACATAACAGCTTCACAGAAAATACATTTGAATTAAGCTAAGTGCTATGTTAATATCTTCGGGATGTGGTGCTGTTCCCACAACGGCTGTCTTCTGTAATTCTGTACTGGCATATTTACCAGAGATGTCTTATAAACTCTTCCAAATTTATTATTATTGTTGCTGTTGTTATGTGACAATCAGCATCTGTCTTCTTTTGGATTTGAGCCCACTCTCTAACTGGCTACTAGGCTGTTGAACCAGGACATTCATAAATGAATTGTTGTTGATCTCAGTCACTACATTTTAAATCAAAGGAAAATTAATTTTCACTTACCAGATTTTTGCTCAATGAATGATTTCAAAGGAATGTATCCCTTTCATAAAATGAGGCGTCATTATGAAGGACATTCAGAGATTGGCAATGTAAGGACTGGTGGAGGTAACACTCAGTGTTCTCTAGCCCCTGGCACCTCACAGAGAAAAGAAGGACATTCAGAGATGGGCAATGTAAGGATTGGTGGAGGTAACACTCAGTGTTCTCTAGCCCCTGGCACCTCACAGAGAAAACAAGTTGGCTTTGCACACTGCCCATCCTACTGATACGGAAAGAGACAGTGGAGTGGTGTGGGCATTGTATTGAACAAAAAGCTCTGCTCCTGTCTGGGGTCAAATCCTGACCATCTAGCCCACCATCAGACACTTTCCTGACTGCACAATCCTGCTTCATACATCAAAAAGAACGGTCAATAAAACGAAAGATAATCAAAAACAATTTACACTTTATTCATACATGCAACATTTACTGCAAACAAAGAGCAAAATATAACCTATCAAACTGAATCTATGACATTGTTATGAAGTTCTATTTAAAATTATTTCCACAACACTGCCTGGCTGAATTAAAATGCTCTGAAGCATGAAATTCAAAAAAGAATATTTAAAAACAGGTTCCCCCTCAGAGCAAATGACCAATCAGTTCAAACTGTTCAGGGAAATAATACCTGTTCATTGTGAAAACCATACAAAATCCATTAAGTGCACTCTGTGGGCAGCATGTAGTTTTTGGTGTTAAAGCAGGTGGTATTTATCATAATAAAAGGTTACATATAGTACAGTATAAATAATTTCAAATATGTTACAATGAAGTAAGAGAATATAATGAAAGTCCATTTTCCATAAAATATATTTTTAAAATTAAAGAGACATAATGTGAAGTTTCTAGAATCTGTGGTGTATACCTATGTTACAGAAGGTAATGAACATGCAAAGAAAAATCTTTAATTGGTATCCACAACAAAGAACTAGAAACAGTAATATAAAGACAAACAGAATGCTAATCTAACAAAAGAAAACATATAAAAAATGGGAAAGCTCAGTTGTTTTACATTTCTGGTTATTGAAAACTGTACAACATATATGATACAATGGTTTTTGAAAAGTTGCTAGCAGTATGTCCACCAACCCACAAATTATCCATGTGTTTGAATCCTTACCTCTAGTTTGATTGCTGTTTTATCTTTCTGGCAACTGAAAACTGTACCTGATGTTTGACATAACAGTTTTTGTAAGTTGCTAGCATCATTTCTACAAGACCACAAAACATGCATGTGTTTAATCCTTACCTCTGGCTTGCTCACTATACTGTGCCTTTCTGCTTATTATTGTTTGGACCAGGAAATGTAGAACAAACAAGCCCAGTGAGACTATACCATAAATTCGGAATGTTGTGGCCCCATCATATTTGTCATACAGCACACCTCCTAGTAGACTGCCTAGAGACACTCCTACAAAACACACAGAGTGATGGTGTTTCAGTTTATATTTCTTGCAGGTTAGAGCCTATGATTCAGTTAGGAGGGAAGTATTCTACAATCGGGTACTCACAAAACTAGTCAGGCTGATTAAAATGTGTTTAAACAAAACGTACCATAAAGTCCGTATAGGTAAACATTAGTCTGATAATTTTCCTATCCTTAATGGCCCAAAACAAGGACATGCTTTGGGAAGGGGAGAAAAGAAGAGAAATGTGTCAATAGCATGAAAGGTTGTAAGCTTGACTATTTTCTGATGCCACAGCGCTACATGGTGATCATGCACTATTAAAAAGAGACTAGTAGGCTGGTTATTGTTACCTACACAACAAAGGGATAACACTGGGAAAACAAAAGATTTCCTAGAATGTATAAAAATTAAACTTTTCTGTTTCCTGATTTCTACCACAGATAGAATACTCAAAGATTTTATGAAATTTACTCTGTGCTCTTGGAAATACATACAGTAGTCACAGATATCAAAGTAATCTGAAAGTACTGCAGAAGAGAGCTTTTGATGTGATTAAAATTCTCATTTCAAGTCTTTCATTTCTGTACCTGAGTGTTATTCCTACTATGGCTACTATATATAGTAATACAGACAAGAGAAAAGAGCAAGTACTTCTTTCAGCAATACACGTGAAACCTCCATTTAATGTCCCTCAATTTATGGTGTTCCTTTGTTTAAAGTTCAGTTTCAATAACCCAGAGCTAATAATCTCCTTTCAAAGCTAGGTGCTCAATCCACTGATCCTGAAAGAGAACTTAAACAGGCGTCTCACTGTATAGGAGTTCAATGTTGAACAAGAGTAGTTACCAATTCCTTCAAAAACTGCTCCCACAGCTCCTTGCACAGTGGCCTCTGTGCCAGGTGGGGCCACTATGCTAGCATATGATGCCATTGTTGCATAAAATATTCCAAATGTGAATCCTTGAAACAGTTCCACTGGAAGGCACCACCAGGGATTTTTGAGTATAGAGTATATCACAAATCTTATGCCAAATGCAAACAGGACAAGTGACATGGCATGCACGTGTCCAATTTTACGCAGAATACGACCTGAAAGAAGCAAATTATATCACTCTTTGAAAACACTTTCAAGAAAAGATTAATAGCAATAAAAAATTTACTGTCCCCTGAGATGTGATGCAATGTACTCTTGTCGAAAAGTGCCAGTGTTTCAAAGGAACCTGCTCCTCTATCTCCTGCCCCAGAGAAGGAGGCAGCAGGTTTTCTCCCAGAATGTTGGTACCCTTGTATCAGATCACATGATATCACATTCCAGAAGACAGAAATCTTCACAGTCACCAGTGTGAGAACCTCAGTATAGTACATCATTTTTCCCCCACATGCTTAACTAAGCACTACATCATGGACATGTATAGGGGAGTGGATGTACAGATATATGTATTCTTGACCTTGGCACTCCTTACAGGTGAGTGGTCCGCTTCACGCCCCAGCACCTTACCCCCTGAGGAAGAGCCCCCAGTACCCATTGGATAGGAGGTGTACAATACAATACAGATAAAAAGGTAAAGTTGTCTCTGTGCTTAACTAATTAAGCACTATGTTCTTTCTTTAAACTCCTGCAGAAAATTGGTTCTTAGTATCTGGAGAATACCAACCTGACAGAAAGAGGAAAGGCAGTTCTCCACCAAAACATTGCACCCCCATCACAAGACCCTCAATAGTCTTCATCCACTGCAGCATGTCACAGCCTTCTGCTGTTGCCAGATCTTCCAAATGCCTGCAAATTATGGGTACATGTAATTCTACATACCACTTTCAGTGGGAAACTGAAAACTTTCCTAGCCTACTTATTAAATAAATCAAATACTGGTTATCCATGGTTCAGAAAAGAAAGCAATGTCTGAAAACCATGGGTAATATATCACTATCCGTTATATATACATAGTTCTATACTGATTAAATTACTGCAATACAGATGCCATCTACAGTTAAACTTGAATTCTCACTTAAAAGCAAACTTATTTCTAAAACAGACAAATTAAGATTATACCAGATGGTAATTCAACCAACAGTAACCTATGCCTGTTAAACCTGGACACTCAAAGAAGCCATTAAGCCTAGACTTTTAGTCTTTGAAAGGAAAATTCTAAGAAAGATCTTCGGGCCATCAAGAAACCATGATGGCTCCTGGAGAATTAAAACAAAGGAGGAACTAGATAATCTAACAAAAGGAAGGAACACAGTTAACTTCATCAAAGCCCAAAGAATAAGTTGGCTTGGACACATCTCAAGGATGGAGGCTGGACGAACAGTTAAAAGAATATACATGACTGGCAGCCACACGCCACAAGAAAGAGGGGCCGACCTAAGATCAGATGGAAAGATGACGTAAGGGAAAACCTAAAGGATTTAGGAATTTATAACTGGATAACCTGCACACAGGACAGAAGTAGTTGGAAGAAAATTGTTGAGCAGGCCAAAGCGTTCAAGAAATGAAGCTGTCGAGCCTTACGAAGAAGAAGAACAACAGAAATTTACTAGCTTTTACATTTACAAAGTTATATTCCGAAAAAATTAACGAAATGCCAGTACTATTCAGCTCATGTTCAAGTTCTGTCATAGTAAAATAGGCATATCTTCAAATATAAAATTTTTTGAGCTTCACATGGGAAAGCTATACAGACCAAGAGTTGTGTGGAACGAAATGAAATGATATCTCTCGACTCGTTAAAGAAATAATACGGTGCACAGGTTAGTATATTTTCATTTACACTGTTACTGAGTTCAAATATACATATTTCAAATGTCTTGCCAAATTTATGATATAAAGCAATGCAAATTTTACTTTATACTACATCATTCTCACACCAGATGTTCAGTTCAGGTCACAGAATGTTTAAGCATTATTTTAGCATGTGGTAGATATGGAGGGAATATGTTTTATTTATGGAACACTTAAAGGATTATTTAGCAAACGGCAGCAGTAGGCAGACTTCATCTTGGCACATGGGGTTTATGAGATGAGTCAACTGTTTTCCTGATATCTACATATCAAGAGGAGAGGAGGAACTTGACAAACAAACCATTATAAAATGATTTTACAACACCGTCTGGGGTGACTCAGTATTTTATATGTCTTTACATGTTTTGGTCTGTTGTGACCATCTTCAGAAGGCAATAACAACATGCTAAGGAATTACTATTACATAGATTGTAGTACACATGCTTAAACTTTTGTATAAAGATTTTTAATTAAATTAAATAATGAAGAAAGCAGTCTTCTGGGATTTGGCACCATGTATATGTGGTGTTAACCAACGTTTCGGAGGAACGTATCGCTATATCGCTATTCTCACGGTCTCTTCGCTTGCGGATTTCTTATATTTTTCTTCTACCCTGAAGATGGAGGTGATACGTTCCTCTGAAACGTCGGTTAACACCACATATACACGGTGCCAAATCCCAGAAGACTGCTTTCTTCATAGTCACCGCCGTGAAAGCCTCAAATCTTACAAGTTGAATAATGTTTAAGTAAAAAAAATTATTAATGTTCTTAATATGTAAAATCTTGAACCGCTGAGGTTTGTGTCTACGTGCCTCTTCTGTCAAAACAGGAGATTGGGGTGTTACTTGCCATCCTCTTAGGTCCAGGCAGCATCCTTTCCCTCCTTTTCTTTTATTTATACGATTTGTTATGGATTTGTGTTGTTAAGTTGTTTCTCCGTTCACTGTGTATTGAGGCATACTGTTGTCAGATCATTTTATAATAAATAACTAGTGTGACGGAGCAGAATGTATAAAACTAATCAAACCATCATTGAAAATACAGCGTCTGGCACATAATTAAACACCCTTTCCTACATTTACCTCACTTACCCTTTTACCTTTTTTTATTGCTAGTGGGGTGGGACTAAGTCCCTTGTAGGCCACGCCATAGCTCAACCAGTTAGTCGCTGGCTTCCCACCACAGCGGCCCAGGTTCGATCCCGGGTCTGGTCAAGTGGGATTTGTGGTGGACAAAGTGGCGTTGGGGCAGGTTTTCTCCTAGTACTTCGGTTTCCCCTGCCAATCTTCACTCCACCAACTGCTCCAGAATCACCCTCACCTATCATCTGTGGCTGGTACAATAGGCCAGAAGTGGCCGCAGTACAAGGGACTCAGTCCTACCCCAGTAGCAATAAATAAAAATAAAAGTCCCTTGTACTGCGACCACTTCTGGCTTATTGTACCGGCCCCAGATGATAGGTGTGTGATTCTGGAGCAATTGGTGGAATGAAGATTGGCAGGGGAAACCGAAGTACTAGGAGAAAACCTACCCCAGCGCCACTTTGCCCACCACAAATCCCACTTGACCAGACTCGGGATCGAACCCGGGCCACCACAGTGGGAAGCCAGCGACTAACCGCTTGAGCTATGGCGCGGCTCACCTACCCTTCATATTCCACATACTTCATCCCAATATTTTTTAGAAGTAGCCTGAAGCTGACTGCAACTATGGGCCATAGCTGACTATCAGTTGCATTACATGCTCATCAATACTTCTGTGACTCATAATGTGATCCTGTTACATCTGATTTTTCAAAATGTTTTTATCATTTCATTTGCTCTCCTGTATAAAATCTATTTTTGTTGTAATTTGTATGTACTGTTAACTTCTTCATGTATTTACATTCAGAAAGGGTGTAACTTGCTACCTACATGAAAGACATTTCAGCTAATATTAATTTTCTTTCAGTGAATCTCAAAGATGCCACATGATGTTGGTTCAGGAAGTTTTTACAAATTAAAAACTGTGTCCCTTGATATAAGTAATAGTGGCAAGTCTGGATAACTCTATCAACAGAGTGAATGATGACAGACTTGATAATCAACACTTGATTCTTGGCACAGACAGACATTTTTCTTTTCATTACCATACCCAAACAAGCTCTGGTGCACACACAGCCTCCTATCCAACTGACAGGCTCTTTTAACTGGGATAATAGGTGGCCAGAACATGAAGTTACCACCAATCTCCGCCTAGTGCCAAAATCTAGAATGCATGGAATTTTACCTCCATGCTCCCATTGCACCTTAATGGTATGTTGCTCAGGTACATTGGCAACTTTATCTTTATTATGAGATTAATATACATTTGAAAATACTATTTATGATACCCAGTATTTTGACATAAATTAAGAGCTTATTTCAGCATGTTGTTTTGAAAGCATAACTGATATCCAGCTGTCACAGTTTGACTGGAGCCCCAGGGATCCTGCTGCATCTCCTCAGCCTCCATGGCCAGACAACATACCATCCCAAACAGGCAATCCCCTGCTAGATGCTGGGATAAGACTTTGGTAGGAAAAGACCGCAAGCAGAAAGAGGAAATGGAGCATTTTCATACATTGACCAGTATCAGATAGAAACGATGTTAGGAGCAGGTGTAATGGGGAAGAGAAAGATGAGGGAGGGAGGGGAAGAGGAGGAAGATTTCAGGATTCCATTCAGCAAACCATCTCAACTTTCAGATGGATAAAGAACGTTACCAGAAAAGGAAGTTCCACTGTAGACCAGTAGATAACCCAACAGCTATGCACCACAGCATGAAGACCACAATTCGCAGTTCAGTGAGAAGCTTCCCCACATCTCGGACGATACTAGTTGAGAGTTTTGTCTGGCTGTGCTGCACAAGAACACATTAACATTGTACTATAATAAGAATGTAATAATTACAGGCATATATGAGTTCTAGTTTGCAGGTGTTTGTATTGTAACGTGTTTTGCTACTGATGACGCTGTTTGGATTGTTAATTGCTTTATTTAACAACCTACAAGTCTTGGCTACAATTAATTATAACACTGTTATGGGTTTACACAATTTACAAACCCTACGCACTAATCTATTCAGTCTGTTTTCAGTAGTCGTCACTTATTCACAGTACACTACAGGAGCTATAGCAGTGTCACTGTATTACACACTCCCAATACCTTCTCACACTATCACTTCTAATTACACGTTCCAGTATTCTTCTTTCCACGTTCACGATTCACTCGCTACAACTGAACTCGGCGACTGTTCCAATTCAACTGTCTCCGGTGGCTGCTATATTTCAACTAACTTCAGCGGCTACCACATTTTAACTGACTTTGGCAGCTGCTACATTTTAACTGACTTCTTAGGCAGTGTAGTTCTCTTATAAACCCTCGGCCAGACAACGGGAAAACGCCTCGCTTCCTTGTTGCCTAGTCGCCATGTTTACAGGTGTTGCTGGGCAATGCCATCCAGAGTTGTTTACTGCTGTGTAGTAACCGCGGCATCCACCGCTATGTCACTGTTATCACCTGCCAAGTCACGGCAGGGGAGGGGGTGGAGCGCTGACCGGCCCGTCACTGTAGCAGTGGCAGCGCTGTTATGCCACCGCTGGCGGGGGAGGGGGCACCCTGCATAGCGCAAATACGTCACAATATGTACAGAACCTAATCTCCTCGAGAGAAGAAGACAGACACAGTCAAGATTATGGTCTTCTGTAATGTGGCAGCTTCTAGTTTGGTAGGCATAATGTACTGGATGAAGACCATCAGCCTTCTTTGCTACAGGGGTATGCAGCGTTTTGAAGGTCAACTGCTGTTCTTTTTTTATATAAGGTTAGCGTTCCTCTGAAACCATACGTAACAAGAACTTACTCTGTAACCAGCCAAATGCCAGATCACAGATGAAGTCCACAATTTAAATGTCAAGGATGAGACAAAGCACTGTCTCGTCAGGGTTACTGCACACCTAGAAGGATAGATGATAAATGAGTAAGGAGCAATGTTAGCGGCCTCCATAGTCTGGAGGTAACGTTCCCACCTCATGACTCAAGGTACGCGGGTTCAAACCCGGCGGAGGTCGTGGAATTTTTAAGGGCGGAAAAATTCAGGGAACGAGTCCTCCAGGAGGGACTTTAAGCCATGGGTCCCGTGTCGTAGCTTTACAGCACGTAAAAGAACCTCATGTCTCCAAAGGAGGCCACTGAGCCAAATTAAGGACATTTCCCGCCCAACAGTAATCTCTAACGCCTCTGGTAGATGGGGAAGCATCAAGACACCTCTGAGCCAGTAGAGGCCGACCTCGCTGGCTGAGTAGGGACTGATGGTAAGCACCAGTACCGGGAGGGTATAGAGGCTGGTAGAAGATTATAAGGAGACGCACAATAGATCAAACTGGTCACAGTGCATGGGGAAACCCACCCCTCCAATAACAATAACAACAACAACAACAAGGAGCAATGGTGGAATTATGACTAGTAGGGGAAAACAAAAGAAACAGAGAAAATTCTGTTCCAGTGGCAATTCATCCACCATTAATCTCACATGAGCTCAACTTGAATTTAACCCAGGCCTTAACAGCCTGAGCTTGAGGTATGACCCATACAGAGAACAAAGAACTGATACCTTTAGCTGTGTTTCAAAAGATTTTGAAAAGCATCTGTTACATTCACCATGTATGTGTGTCTGCAAATAACAACACTCAAATTATAGAATCAATTATGATGAAATCTGGTATGGGAGATCTACACTAAATATTGTGTCAAGACATTTTGATTTGAATTGGTTTGGTTAATTTTAAGGATCACCTTATGTTACATAAATTAACATACAAAATTATATGCAGTTACATCCCATGAAGATAATCTTGATATACTTCAAATGCCATAGACTAAGTTTAAGAACATTGCTGAGGAGAATATCTGCACCAAAAAGAAAAAAGTAAAAGAGAAACTAATGCATGAACAATAAGAAATTTCATAACTTTAAAACTGTTTAATTAATGTCAAGGCTGAATGTTTCAAGCTCCTGCTTGGTATTTTGCATGATTATTTTGCTAACTGGAGGTGACTTCTATAAACATCTGTTAATCCAACAATCTGCTACACACTAACCTTAAGTCTTGAAGAGACAACAACGTCAAAAATCAGAATGACAAGCATTAGATAGAAAACGATAGTGTAGTCCTTCTGGGCACGTCCCTTGCTCAATTCATCAACAAGAAGGCCAGAGATTACAGCAAATACTCCCCATCCAACAGCGCCCCAAAGTCGTTGATATCCATAATGGGTCGGCTGATCTCCTTTAACAAGAAATACGTGTTAAGATTACAGTTTTGCGGTATGTGATACCACAAAGTTTGATGGATGCCTATCTATCAAAATATATGGTGTCACAGCCCAGAAGAATGTAATCTTAATACTCATTGCTGTAAGAACCTCACATCTCAAAAAATAAATGAACTGCTGCATTCCATGTAGCCATGTTGGTCTTCTGAAGCAGGGCTGTTCACTTTTGAATCAATGTTGTACTGTACCTCAAGTAACTTCCCACAAGCTGCATTATACAAAAATATAATTTTTGTAGTATATTGATACAAATATTTCATTTCATTTCATTTATTCACCTTCCACAGATCCTGTCGAGAGTACATTCTCATGGAGATGTGAAGATCATCCTTGTTACAGTCACAACTAAGGATTACAGTTGTCATCCAATAGCATGCACACTTGTATAAAATACTGATAAATGTGTACAATATAATAAATAAGTTAATTTTAGTAGTAAAAGTAATGGCAAACCTTATACAATTTGTACAGTTTTATGCAAGTCTATTAATTAAAAATTCAATAGTTAAAACATAATGTCATTAATGAGTCTTGTATAACATACATCAATTATATAATAAATTGAAACAAAGACTGCAAATATCTGCAATAATTGGATCTACAAAGCACATGAATATGAACTGGACCCCTAAGGTTCAAAAACATTTATTTTATTGTAATTTTATCCTCTAAACTTAGAAATATTCAGTGAATTTGCTACTGACAGAAAAATAGGAACACCTCCTCTGAATTTTTTCAGTGTGAGCACTGTGGACAAACATTCTCCTTTACAATAACTGATATATCTATACTTATCTCACTAAGAGCAGGTCAATGTGGAAAAGAGATTCACTGGTTAGTGAATAAGAATATCGAGAGATATTTTACTAGCTTCATGGCTTGCTGATGACATTCACTGTATCTCTTATATACGACGAAACTGTTACCATATATTTTTGGGTATGGAAGGATAACCTTGTGGGCATCACAAAACCGACTGGAGGACAATGAGTTGGATAGCTCTTCTTCTAAAGCAATGCCATAATGTTGCCTTTTCAAAATGGAAAGCAATATTGTAGGCTTTGAGGTTCTCGTAGCAATGGTTATGAAGAGTTCTATCCTCTGGGCTCTGCTTGCCACCTCCTTTCATGTGGGTTTCTTGCTTCACTTATCCTTTGACCATGAAGCTGTAGGCAACAAGTTCCTCCAAAACGTCAGTTGACTTTCACTGGACTATATGTCGTTATATCCCACAAGACAAAGCTGTTTGGAAAATTCTGACGTTTTCTGTGAGCAGATTACTTCTATTTTCACCATGGGTTACAACACATGACACAAAAACATTTACAGTTCTAAGGTATGAGAAAATTAGGATGATGACCCATTAGAGACACCTCCACCATTATCAGATACAATCTACTGAGCATTCCCATTTTGCTTAGTGGGGAGTGGAGTCCAACTGCGTCCACTCAGCACGGCAGCCACTGATTGACCTATTGTAGCCTGCCCCGGGTGATTATGATGATGGAGAATTTGGTGGAATGAAGATTGGCAGGGGAAACCGAAGTACTTTGAGAAAACCTGCCCCAGCGCCACTCTGTCCACCACAAATTCCACTTGACCAGACCCAGGATCGAACTCGGGCCACCACAGTGGGAAGCCAGTGACTAACCGCTTTAGTTATGGCACGACCCAAGCATCCCCATGATTAACCCATACACAATCCTACCCTCTAAATAAAGTTGTTTGCTGGTTTATGTACTTTATTTCAGGCAAATATGATAACAAATCTGTATTTTTCAGGAAACTTTATTTGATAATAATGATAAAATTGAGGAGGATGACATGAGCAGAACATGTAGTACACATGGAGGAAACATGAATACTAAGTTATGGTAGTAAAATATGAAGAAAAGAGACCACCGGCTAGACCTAGGTACAAGTGAGAGGATAATATTAAAATGGGTCTAATATTTGATGTGTAGTCCCATCTACACGCTCGTGTATTCCATGGTGCTGGGTGGGTCTTCCTGTTGGGTTACATGTCTAAACTATGAGTATACCAGAACCACAAAAATTGAAGAACAGCAGTTTTCACCAACAATTTTAAATACGTGATTACGACCAGTGTCTGCCGAAATATGTAGTGTAAGTAGAGAAACTTTTAAATGCACTTTTAAAGATGCACTGTGTGATACAAGAAACTTTTAAACAAGTTTTAGAAGGATGTTTTGCATGTAAAACAGTGAAGCAGTGACATCTGTTGGACCCGTAAATAACACTTAACATTTTGTAGGATTTGAGATTCTCACAGCTCTGATGTTCAAGAGTTCTATCTTTGGGATATAACATTGTGTAGTCTGCTGATAGACAAATGACATTTCAGAGGAACATGTCAGCCTCGATCTTCAGGGTGAAAGAATAAGCCATGCAAAAAACAGAGTGAAAGAAGGTGGCAAGAGTTATACTCCAGAAGACAGAACTCTTCAACTTCACACTTTGTTTAAGCCAATGAATCACTGATTTAATTGTCCAGTTCCCCTACAGCCTGGCATCAATACCACTTCAATCCTTATGACTATACTGTAAAGTGTATATCTGTTGCTAGGCAACATCTCAGTAAACACACTCCCAGAACAGAGCTGTAAACACAGTGAGTTCCGTGGGGTCCATGCCGAGGAGTTATAAAGGGACAGAGCAGATGCGACATAGGAGTAGACAGAGTACAGCAACGTAAACAACAGCAGTTGTGATTAGTCAGGATGAGTCTGAGAATCAGCAGCTGCAGAAATGGCAAGAAAGGAATTAGACTGTGCCAAGAAGCCTTCACATGTTATTTGAAGTTACAGCAAGACTGTGATAAATCCATTGCCAAGATAAAGCTAGTGAAGACTGAGGATCTTTGCGTGTGTAACGGTGAGGTGGAAAGTGTGCAGGATAGCCATGGTGATGTATTACCTGCCATCATGAACTGTGTGAACATACAAGGTGCAACAAATCCAATCATCCAGTCCCAAACCCATTATGATTACTCATGAAAACCGCAGATTCGTGACAGTATACGTACGCTTATAACTCTCAGCAAACTTACCCAGCATCTCAAAACAAATGGCATCACCTATGCTCACTACAACAGCCATACCAATCCAGCTGAGCACCATGAGAAGAAAAAAGAGCCAGAACTGGTAGAGGTCTGCAACATTTACGTCATTCACAGCAGTGTTCCTGAACACCTGTACACAAGCAAAACTACAATAAAGTGAAGTGGAGGAGCATACCAAACAAATATTAGTTGATGAGATTCAAGGTTCTCTCAGTGGATACTATGAAGACTCCTATGTTCTCAGATGTGACGCCATGCATTCTTGTAGATCATTACCAACATTTTGGAAGAAAATACCAGACTACTGGTGCATATCCCAGAAGACGGTGATCATAATTCTACAAAATTCTTTAGTATTTGAAGTCACAACAACCAAATACATAACACTGCTGTAATACATTGTAATCCCTTGTTAACTATGGTTTTCCAAGCTATGGATTACAAATAAACACTTTTCTATTTGGAATTACTAGGTTTTTAAATTTTGTCCATCATCCAGTATCCTAGAAAACACAAAAGAATACCAGATGATGGACAAAGTTCAAAAACCTAACCGTTCTGAGTGTTATACACCATCGTCAGAACCCTTTAGAATCTACTTTTCCATTGGTATCCAGATTTAGCAAACAAGAATATTTGGTTTTGTGTTCACATTTTAAAATTATTTATGGCAGAACAAAAATTGGTGGCTTCAACACCATGAGTTCCACCAAGAATTACTAATATAAAGAGAGAATAATAAAATTATTATAACTACATCATTAAACAATAATCAGTAAGAAAAATTACAATAAATATTTTAATTACGTTTATTTGAGTTCACCATCCTTCATCAGAAATAGCCATCAAGATAAAAAATTAACTTCTTAAGAATACTTAAGAATCCTCAAACAGTAGTAATATGGAACAACTTATTTTACCAATATCTTTTCATACAGCATTTCCCTTAAAACTATGGAAAATCTGCAGAAATGATTTATGTAAAACAGTCCTCCCTCATACAGCAGTTTCCCTGAACTTCCTGATGTTACTCTGAATCCATGAAACCAGGTACCAAACTGGGTTTCTTATGGTAACGAATATCATGGCTGGAAGCAGAGTCTAAACTTTTCTGCCAATGCTGAGTTACAACAAATATGACTATTATGTTGGTCACTCTGCACTGTCTTGAGTCTTTTCAACAGAGTTTTCAGAAACTGGATCCTTCCATCATCAGACATAAAAGAGGCAAGGTTTCTACTTAATTAGGCCAGTTGGAAACAGCCAGTCTGAGTCATGGGACCAACAAAACAATTTCTATTATACATAGTATGCTACATATACTCTGGTTAGAACTTCTTTTTGTGTCCATTAATCAAGAACAGCTATCGCTAACAGATCCAACTAAGCAGGAACTTTGCTTTCCACCATCTGATGATGGTGGAAACATATCCAGTTCTTTAGAAACTGCATCTAAAAATCCCAAGGCAACAGAAAAGTCCAAAATAATATTCATGTTTCGTGATGAAAAATAAAACAAGTCACATCTTTCACAAGATTTGTGCCTGTGACTATATCAAGATATTATCAGCACAGTTTACTGTCAGTACTCAGTGGATAGATATCAGCAGGGTTCAACAAATCCACTCGTCTGTTCACTGGGGAAGAGTGAAAACATATTAGAATTAAATAATAAAGAAAAATATTCATCAATAATCTGTCCTGAGGTTTTTTATTATTTCTCTGCAGATGTCAATAAATATGAAAGGTAAATGATATCTTGCATTCATATTATATAACAGAAGAGACAGTATTTTATGTGTTATGTTATGTGATGGTAAGTAGACTGGAGCACAGCTAATATCACCATGTGTGTGCAGATGCAGTTACCTCTTGTAGAGAAATGACCGGGGCATGCAATTTTTGCCTACCCGCTGAACTGAGTCAATATAAACATTAATAGAATTATTGCTCATTACTCAACCCAACAACGAATTTTCTCGATAAAAACACTTTACCTCACTGATGGCAGGATCTAAACACTGCACCATACATGGAGCTGTAGTTAGGTTCCTGCAGTATGGTACATGAGACGAAAATCCATCCAGCACATGATGCACTCTAAAATGTAGGCACGTACCATTCTGTTGGACAACAAAAGACCCATAAAATCTACAATGTGGATGAATATATCAGAATTCTTTTAGAGTTTTCTGCATAAGGGTGATAAAGCAAACTGAAGTGTTTATTGAGGAATCTGTCTTCAATTCCATATAAAATATGATCCTGTATTTATCGGGTAAGGTTAACTCAGTGCAACCCTGGTAATCAAAACTAATTAAAGCACTGGTGTGCTCAGACTAACGGACGTTTGACTTCAAATAAAAACAAAGAAACACAATTTTAATATAATTAGTCATTCAAAAGATTCATAGGTACATTTTCTATATAAAGAACCAAAAATCTGTCTGGAATCGGTGGATGTTTGACTATACACTGCATTCTGGGCAAGTTACATCTTTCACCACCTAGAGATGATGGTCCATTAACATTAATTAATTTTTACTGTAAGGAAGTAAAATAACTAGATTAAACATGTAATTTTTTGAGATGCCAACTTCTTTTTGGTGGTACTGTAGGTCAGTCTGAATTATTGGGAGCTCAAATTAACATGTTTGTATTACCGTTGTTCCACTGTAGATGAAATACATGGGGACATCAGTGCGGATTCTAAAACAAAGTCAACTACTCATCAGATCTGAAGTTTTCAGAGAAAACAGTGCATGCAAAATGGTATAGTACATCCGTTATTTACAGACTTCAAAAAAGCATGTAACTCAGGTGAGAATAATTGGACAATATTCTCAATGAATTCAGTATATACAGGAAACAAGTTAGGGTAATATGTTTAAACAAAACCTATTATAAAGTCAGTACAAATACATATCCCACTGATTTGCTACTCAGCTTGGCCTGAAGAAACAGGGAGATGACTATCACTATAACTTTTCAACAATTTTAAAATAGCATGTTACAGAAATCCAAGAACATAAGGAGAGAATGTAATGAATGGAACACATCAGCTTCTTGATCAATTCTGAACAGTGATCAACGTCTGGGTTGCACAAAAGAGAATTTTTTCATCAGCTTTGTGTGTCACATCCTGTACATTAAACTTATGAGATACTAATGAATTATAACCACAGCAAAACCCACATCAATTGGAAGCTATTCAATCTGATGTCCATATGTTCCTTAATCATTACTGGTTGTGTGGGAGCCAGAACAGCTCAGTTCATGCAGAATTAGGCCACATGCTGAAAAGTCGAGGGATTCAATTCCCAGCAGTAGCAGGAGCAAGACATTTTTTTTTTTCTTCTTAAGAGCATATAGATAATCCCCCCCCCGCCTCCTACCCCATGTGTACCTGGGGATCATTCCCTGGAGCTAAAGTATTCAGAGGGTGAAGCTGACCATTTACCTCCACCTAGTGCTGATTTCAAGTGTGAGGGAAAGTCAGTAAATATTTCACAAATGAATATAATTGTATGTGATAGTTGAACATTTATTTCTTAACATACCCTCCACCAAAATTGATACACTTGTCCCATCACTTTACCAGTGCGTCGACTGTTGTCTCATCACCTGGTCAGACATGTGGTCGGATGTTTGACGGTCAACCCAGTTTTGAACTGCTTTATGCAACAAACTCTTTCCACCATAAACAGGAAACATTTCTTTGTGAATATCCTTTGCACTGAGTCCTTTCGCCCATAAAAAACGCACAACAGAACACTGATCTTTGGCAGTACATTCAAGCATGGGTGCCATTATGACTACTAAAACCAGCTTCTTAAAATGCGAATCTGCTCTCTAGACTATCATGAAGCTGAACTGTGCTGGTACCTAGTGATACATACAGGAAACCTATTACATCCATTACAGTTGTTTTACTTCCATTTGTGACCCATTTACTGACTCTTCCTCATACATGTCAAGCTGTAACTCCAATCTCCCACATGCCTTCATGTTGTGACATTTAACTAAACACAGGGACAGCTTTACCTTTTACTGGCTGAGCACTGTGTTTGTTCAGTATTAATGCTGTTAACCCTTAGTTAAAATATAGCTGCCAGCCCTGTAGCACTGGAAAACTTAAAGCCTCCATTTCCAGATGACATATTCCCCCGAAATTCATATGACTGCCAACCCTGTAATACTGGGAGATTTATAATCCTGGCTCACCTACAAGAGTTCTATCTTCTGGGACATAATGATGTGTAGTCTGTTGAAAGTCAACTGACTAATGGCAATATATCCCAGAAGACAGAACTCTTCATAACCATCACTGTGAGAACCTCAAATCCTACATCAGTTAACAAGTTCATTCCCATACTCAATCATTTGACGACAGCCCAGAAATTTGTATACCCTTACATTACAAACATTAAAAAACCAGGAATACCTCTGATGTTGTAGGCAATGTATGACTGATGGGCACTTCAGCAACTAAGTGTAGCAAATTAATGTCACCAGTTAACTCACAATATCGTGAAACATTCCACACTTCACACACCTCTTTTGTGAGCCAAGCATTTGCTATACATTCCAACTGTAACAAATTATAGTCAAGGTCAATATCTTCCCTTGTAGTATTACTGCATCTTCACTATAAAAGCTACAAACCTTAGTGTTGCAGTAAAGCATATTGTATTTTGAACGTATGTTTATACAACAATATACGTTAAGAAACCTGAATAATGGATGACAGAAGGATAATTCTCACAGGAAAGAGATGGAGATAAAGGGCAAATAATGGAGAAGAACGGCCATCTGTCATATAGAGTGCCAAGGCTTTTCGAAAACTGGAGATTCAAGGATATGCAGTGGAACCCCCATTCAGTATTCCTCAATGTACAGTCTTCCCTCATTTAACGTTCAGTTTTAATAATACCAAGTCAATAACTTCTATGTTAAATTTCCTCCATTACAGATTTTCTTCAGCTTGGTATTCACATCTACTGTTCCACACACAAACCTTAAATGGATTATATATCTGTAAGAAATCAGGTATAGTAAATTCACGGTTACCAAGTATCCAAGCATCTGGAATTTTCATCCAACCAGAAAAAAAATTCAAAGAAAATTTATTATTTTTATAGAATTATTAAAAAAACAGATTTGTGAAGTGCATATATTCACCGACTACAAGGTAGTTCCCATACCTACCACTAGCAACACTACCAGTTATCCTCCTTCATAAAGGCGCCATTAGGGTACAGGTTGGTTGAATTTGTGATAGCACTGCAGTATATGTACCAAAAATCTTTCCCCCATCAATTCATTATAAATCTAATGAAGATTCCCTTGCAAAAGGTAAAGTGAATATGTGTTGTTGTGACTATGTGTTGTATTTCTGAGAAATTTTCTAACGCAACTGGCAGATTCATATAACACACCCTATTTCTCACAGATGCAGGATATTTTGGAGTTTAATGTATGTGGAAACTTTGGTTGATACTGCCACGAGTAAGATTCTATTGTGACCTCTGAAAACACTCAGGTGATGACTGACGAATGCAAAGCAGAAGTTGCGAGTTGCTCTTGGTCTGAGACTTAGACATTAATGCGTGTAATTCTTGAATATGATCAATTTACAGCAGGCCCTTCTTATACTGCATATTCAGATATACCATGGCTTTGACCATGTCACCCAGTAAGATTACACATGTTTATATCATGCAAATTTCTAAGAAATGATTTAATTATAGTACAAGACCCTACTGCAACATTCCTTCCTGTAATGTGAAGGTACAGAGGGTGAAGTCCATAGTCTTCTATGAATAGACTGTAAGTTCCTGGTTTTACTAACCTTTACATTATTTTGTTTGAAGATAAAATTTATTGAGGACCCCTTTCACCTGCCTGACCACAAATGGTCAGAAATTTCCCTTATGCTGATGGTCTACTATATGTAATTATTTGTTAAGTATATGACAAGAAGAACTGAGGTTACTTCTAAATAATAACACTGGGTATTGTGCATTGAAGATTGGGCTAAAAATGTATAGCAGAATCTCAGTACTTGTCAGCTTCCCAATATGTCACTTCTCACAATCAGTGTCAGTATCTGATGCCATTATTTACATATGTCATTGGTTCTCTTCTACATCATGTCACCATCTCTCTCATGCATCAATGACATTTCCTACAGCTAAGCAGCACCATTCTACCAGAAACATTCCTCATGATAGGATCTCAAACCCATTATCTGCTGACTTTGTGTCAGCTTTACTGACTGAAGAGATCCTCCAAAGTCACTAAGGATGTGACCTCAAGAGGTCCTAAATGAGAGGAAGTATATTGCAATGCAATAAACTCTAAGCTCCTTTTATAAGAGAACAGAGGGAGATTTGTCTTTCAAGCAGTAAACTGATATACTCCTTGCATGTTTACATTAATAATATTATTGTTAAATTGGTCTTCACTTCTTCGAAAATTTAGTGTTCAGTGTATGACTCTCCTGGAATGAATTATTATAATATAGAGAGTTTATTGCTCTGTACCTGGTGTTCCCTTATCCATCATGCTTTTAAGAAAGCAGTTTAGGACAGATATCAAGGGCCCACTGAACATATTCTGTGTTGTTTCTAGCGACATAATAAAAAATCTGTATATGAAACACACACCTCACATAATGCAGTATTGTTGCTCGATGTTTCGGCCATTAAACGCGCTGCAGCACATCTGTCAACATCACTACTACATATCTTAAAGTAAGTGAAAGCATCACAGTCCAAAGTAGTTGGAGAGGATTTACTCTCTGTATGAATCTCTGGGATAAATTGTATCACAAAGAAGCTAATTGCTGTAATTATCTGGAAAGCCAGAAAGAGTAACTTCTGAAGTTGATAGCGATCAGCTATTGCACCAAACAGTGGTTTGGCTAACATTCCTGTAATTGGCAGCACTGTGTAGATTGTACCGACGATGACGCTGGAAAAACCAAGCTGACGAGCATATATTGGCAAGAATGGAACAATCGGTGCTGTGCCTGGAATGTAAGACATGAGTTATAACAAGTCTACATGTTTGCAATGAATTGTGCCATTAAACTTACATAGATATCACAGATTTTCCAGCATCTAGCTTAGGTTAAAGAAACATGAAGATATGGACGACAACAGGTAAAATTCCAGTGCATGGGCATGGCAGTAATTGCATTAACATATTCAGGACTTCAATATTCTTCCTGTAGCATTTATGAACGAACATAAAGTTGATGTCTACCTAGCTTGTCTTGCTTACTTCTGGGAGTACCCAGTGGACATCAACTTAAAAATCTCTTGTGATACTTTTCTTTCAAACTGGATACATTCTGAGTAACATGATCATGTGACAGGGTCTAAACTGCTCCCTGGCAAGGAACGAGTTAAATAAATGATTATCTATCTGAATGAGAAAATTTGATTATCATTGACTCGAAGCACTCACCAGCATTCCACAAGAAGTATTGACCTTTAAGGGGTAGTAGGTCGAAATTTACTTTCAGTTTCACCATTCTGGAGAGAAACAGTATGTATATACGGTACAGTAATCAGTCTTCTAAATTACACAGTTCTTAGTCATGTGACAACTGGACTAGAATCTGGAATAAAAGTAAAGGAACATGGATAAGAACATGTCACTAAGTTCTCATATATTTCACATACAAGAATTTCCCTGTATATTTCATCCCATTCAATTACTTACTTACTCATGGAGCTGAGCCCTTTTGGAGGAGCCACCAATTCTGCAGCTACTCAAGAATTTCCCAGCATTTTATGGAACCTGAAGGTTCATTACTGTGTTTACAAGAGCCCTCCACTGGTCCCTATCCTCAGCCAGATCAATCCAATCCATACCATCCCATCCTATCTCTCTAAGATCCATTTTAATATTGTCCACCCACCTACGGCTTGGTCTTCCCGATGGTCTCTTTCCTTCTGGCTCTCCCACCAATATCCTATACGCATTCGTCTCCACCATTCATGCTACATGCCCTACCTACCTCATCCTCCTTCACTTGATCATTCTAATTATACTTGGAGAAGAGTAGAAGTTATGAAGCTCCTCATTATACAGTTTTCTCCAACCTCCTGTCACTTCTTCTCTCTTCTGTCCAAATATTCTCCTCAACACCGTGTTCTCAAACACCCTCAGTCTATGTTCCTCCCTTAATGCCAGAGAACTACAGGCAAAATTATAGTTTTGTATATTCTAATTTTTACTGATTTAAATTTAAAGAAAAAAGTCTTCTCTCCTTTATACAGTTAAGTGACAGTTTATGGCTTCCTTTGTTAAAATTCACCAATAGTTTGCCTGAACTGCCAACAGATGACAGGAGAAACTATGTTCACTGATATCAAGAAACATAAAATAAATTATGAGAAAAAGTACCCTATGTTTCTGATGAAGTTACCTTATTCATAGTGAGGATTATTTTTACTATCTCATTACTTAACCAGAAAACTCAATAAAAAAACCAACAGCAATGTGTCACAGTTTTCATACTTTTAACTTACAAGCATATTTCATACATATTTCAGTCCCTTCCCATACTGATATCAATTCAGAAAAGAAGTCTTCTTTTGTCTATGAAGATCAATGACAGTTTAGAGCTTAAAAGTGTTAAAAAATTAACTTGAGTTAACTTGAACTATCAACAGATGGCAGGAGAATTTATTTTCACTGATATCATCAACACATAAAGAAAATTAACATTAGAGGTACCTTGTGTTTATGAGCAAGTTATCTTGTTCATAGCAGGGAACAGATTAACATTATATTTTATTGCTTATTTCTATTTTCCACTGTCTTACTCTTTTATCACAACACTTAGTAACACAAAAAGTAGAAGCATGAAACCAATATTATAGCATCATTTCAATTTCAATCCATTTAACATTCCATAGATCCACAGTACACATTAAGATATAGAACATGTCAAAACAGTACATAATATACAGAATAAATAAAACAAAATAAAACTAATATGCACTGGACATACAGCTAAAACACTTAGGCTTCTTCTTCATGTAACTGTTCAGCTATTAAACTACTGCTAGAGTCTGAATGGTTTACTCCAATTTAATTTAGTCTCCCACATTTAGAAGATCCTGAAACAAATGATGAGTTATCTATTAGACATAGTATAAAAGTATTAAAACTGGAATCAAACAATACAGCAGGTACAGGATAGTTTTTCATGCACAGAGGCTGGAATTCATAATTTTAAACAATAATGGCAAAATTATTTCACAAACAAATGGATTACCTATAGATGATAGCAATTTCAAATATCACTGGTTATGGTCTAAACTTTAAGCTGCCCCTTATCAAAGTCAATTTCTTATCTGGTATAAAATAGATAATATATTTGTGCTGAAAGAAACTTTTTTTATTATCACACAGTATAACTAATCCTACATACAGCTATATCCAGATAACATGGACAGCTGCCTTTATTGGAAAATACTTTTTGTCCCAAGAATATACAAAAAACCGAAACCATTCCTGTTTTCTTTCATTTATGGTTTATTAAGGGCAATGTCAGTACATCAGACTATACGGTGTCAGAGGACAAAATGCTTAATAAGTAATGAACTGAACATGGCATGGAAGAAAGCTGTCATTACCTTATTTAAGGAAGAGTTCTATCTTCTGGGTTACACCGCCATGTAATCCGTTTAAAGTCAACCAACATTTTGGAGGAACATACATACATAGCATTCCATAGATCCATGAGTTAGTCAGATGACCTACCGGATGTGGAATTTGTCAAAAATCATACAATACATATATACATGCACAATTAAATTTCACATAAATAGTAAGGATTTCACAAAAGTAGTAAAATATCCATCATAAATCCATACATTAACATATACTANAAATCATCAAACATTTTACTAGAGATTATAACACTTGTATCATCAGCAAATATTATGGGTTCTGATGAAAAATTTATTGTTGGTGGAAGGTCATTTATATATATTATGAAAAGCAAGGGTCCCAGGACAGATCCTTGGGGAACTCCATGCTTTACTGTTCTCCAGTTTGAGAAAAAATTTTGAGTATATTTGGGTGATTTTATCTCAACCTTTTGTTTTCTATTTGTTAGATAGGATTTGAACCATTTTAACACTGTTCCTCGAATGCCATAAAATTGCAGCTTACTTAACAAAATTTCATGATTTACACAGTCAAAAGCCTTTGCCAGATCACAGAAAATTCCTCCTACATGCCTTTTTTGGTCAATTGATTTTAAAACATTGTCTGTTAGCTTGAATGCTGCATCTTCAGTGGATACACCCTTCCTAAAGCCATACTGTTCTGGGACCAACATGTCACCTCCATGTTGAAGAGCTCTGCTTGCCACCTGCTTTCACCCTGGTTTCTTGGTAGGCTTATTTTTCCACCCTGAAGATGGAGGTGATGTGTTCCTCCGAAACGTTGGTTAACTTTCAACGAACTACACGGCGTTACATACCAGAAAAGTGAACTCTTCGTAAACACTGCTGTGAGAACCTCAAATTTAAGATATTATCCTGACATTCATCTGAAGACTCAGGAAAAATCACAAAGAGAATTAAAAACTTCAGTCAGTATAGTCGATCTCTCGGCTCAGATTTGAACCTTATGTCTCCTGAGCTTATTTGTGTATAACATACATATAAGCATGGATACTTTCTACCGGGTTAGTAGTAACTATTACTATCTAAATACTTAAAACTCACTCACTCGAGAGACCACTTGAGACATACAGTGAAATTCTAATTACCATTCTATCATGCAACCTCTTACCCCACAACTGTAAAGTCACGTTCTGTACCTTCTGTATATCGTATATCAAAGATCACCTTCTCCATTGGCCTCAGTTCCCAAGGTTACTACCTTCATACATCAGCTGATTAGCAACGATGAACATTTTCACATTCAGAATAATCACGACGAATCGATTTTCGAAAAGTACGCCTAACTGTCAAGAGATGGCGTAGGCGTCCATATTCAGTAGACTCGTGTGCATTGACTCGGTAGCACTAACCCATAATTGCTTACTGTCTTGTTGGAGCCACATCACAATACCATAGACACATTTCCAAAAACCAGAACTTAATATACTGAAACCATCAAATATAAAATTATAACGGCAATGCACATAAATACTGAAGTACACGTAAAGTTATCCGTGAGCTTGCATGAATAAACACCACGCCATGAAGATGTATGGGGAGGTGGAGATACACTTCCACCATTCTCAGGGCGGCCGCACACCAACTTCGTCAAGACAAGCATCAAGACATGAGACAAAAGACGTAGTCTTGATTCATTCGTGATTCGTCAGCGTGAAGCTGACGTCAGCATCATGACTCAGACCGGTTTGCGGCGGTTTTCATAATCTCATTCGTTTCAACTGTTCTCCTTTCTTCGCGTCATGTCGCAGACATAGTGTCTTGACTGTTACATGTCCTGACGCATGCCGGTGTGCGGCCTACTTTAAGCTTTGAGCTAGACAGAGCTGAGTGATCAGCTTCACGTCCCTACCGCTTCACCCCTGTACCTGTTATATAAGGAACTGGGTGGGCCCCAGGGTCAGTCTGGTCTTCTCCACAGGAGAAGAGAAAAATCTCTTGCACCTGCCTTGAGTCGAACCCCGACTCCTCGGTCGTCCAGCCCATAGCCTATTCGCTGAACCGACTAAGCTATCCCGCCGCGAAAGAAGGCGAAGTTTTCCCTGCGCTTAACTAATTGAGCACTACACCGTGAAGACGGAGACAGAATTCAGTCTCCGAAACGTTATATTTGTGTATAAATAAGATGACGGATAGTGTTCAGCAACACAATATTTGTGAAAATAGTACTGTTCACGCTCCCGTCCTCCCAACCAATTAACTGAAATTCCAAATGTGATTTATGATGACTTTGTTTATTGTTGGCGAAGGCTTTCCTGCACAGACCATGAGACATGTAAACAATTAACGCTTACTGATATCTGGATAATTACATATTGTGAGTCAGATTATGGGGTTATCAAACACGTGACTAGACAAGATTAAATAGTATCTTCTAAGGCCCATATAAGGGGAGGAAGTTCATATTTCAGTGACCTTGTATATGATTAAAAATTGCGATAACATCTGTCACTTTTGCTTCGTGCTGAGGAAGTCATGAGTTGAAAACACTGCTTCTTTATTACCCTGAGATATTCATCAGTTTAGCCAGACTTTGCAGGCAGATGTTGCCATAGTAACGCAACCCTTCAAATCACAGTGTAATGTATATTACAAAGTATATGTGTGTGACTACAGACGGGGTTTGGATTGGTGAATGAATATATTGATCATTTACACACCACGACTTGGAACTACAAGCAATTACAAAGCTGTCGCTCATCTACACGCTTTACACATCACTACATCACACGCTAAGCCTCAATCTTTTATAGTCTTCCCTAGTCGTTACTTGGTAACAGCTCTCAACAATGGAGATTCTTCAGCTTCTGTGTTCATGCCGTTGCCGACTAACTAATACTACTCACAACTGAACTAATTTTCAAAGTCACATTGTGACTAACGTTCAGTCATTCAGTAAGTCTTGGTGTCGAGCCCCATCTGGGGCTCATGACCAGATATTTATTACTGTTTGACATTTTCGGTCTTTCTTTTTGTGTGGCGCCCTCTCTGACGAGAGGACGGGTATGTCATTTGCACATGCCCCTGGCACTTGCCAGCGCAATCTTTCTCGGGTTAGAGTCCCTTGGGACTCGAGACCATATATTACTGTCTCAGATTTGAGACCTCCCTTTTCGTCGCCTCCTACGATTCGCAGGGTCACGGTGGAGGTATTCGACCCCGCCCCTACACGGGTTGAACGCCTTGTCAAAGTCAAAGTCAAAGTCACATTGCGACTGACGATCAGTCAGTCAGTAAGTCTTGGTTTCGAGCCCCATCTGGGGCTCATGACCAGATATTTATTACTGTTTGACAGTTACGGTCTTGTTTTTGTGTGGCGCCTTCTCTGACGAGAGGACGGGTCTGTCTTTTGTATATGCTGCTGGCCCTTGCCAGCGCAGTCTTTCATGGGTCCGAGTCCCTTGGGACTCATGACCATATTTTACTGTCCCAGATTTAAGACTTCCATTTTCGTCGCCTCCTACGACTCGCAGGGTCACGGTGGAGGTATTCGACCCCGCCTCCACACGGGGTTGAACGCATTGCTCCAAATATCCTGGTTATAATATCTCTACACGGTCCACATAGAAAACACCACGTTTCCAACAGTTGCATGCGTATTCGTTGCAACTGAAACGTGTTTGCCGAGCCGTTGTCCAGAAACGGTCGTTGTTTACAGAGTCACCGCTTATCAACGGGTCTATACACCTCATTAAAATTTAAAAAATCCTCCATTTTGACCATAGAATGTGTTTCCTGTGATTCTCAGAAAAAAATAATTTCCCTGGTAATCATTAGCTGGATGCTCATTGGAATGGAGTGTCTTATTGGGCAGTGGCAATTGGATTTTTAAGTATCATTTGAATGAACTTCATGCTTTTCGTGGTTAAGTTAGGCTACGGTCTTTTCCTTTCTGATCCCTCCTAATTCATTATCCTACCATATCTCATTCGGTGACGCGATTATCAGGAACTGCTACAGCAGCATAAACTCGTTGCATTTGGCCAGTCTCTACGGTGGGAAAAGTTAAAACAGAGATCCTGTTTCTCGAAATAATTAGATAACCCAAGACAAGAACCCTAGAAAGAATAAAAAGGATTCTAGTTACGGAGCTAGAAGCCATGACTGATAGAAGAGTTGTGGGGTTGAAACTCTCCTTTGTAATATTTTCGAATATATCATTCGTGTTCTGCTGTCTACATAGTTTCATACTGTGTACGATTCCCTGATGAGAAATGCAAGAAAAGCACAAAAATTGTGTCTTGATCACCCTGTAATTACCTCGATATTCTCTTTAATTACCTCAAAAGCCGCAATACTTATGGGAAAAGAATATCAGCTGTAAAATATGTTTCTAAATTTCATGTACAACTAAAATTCGAAGCTTTTTTCGCTCCGAAAAATACATATCGTCTTACCGATCGATATTCCTTATTATTGTCCGACTGTAAGTAAAATCTGACTGTAGCAAGAATTTTTAATAGGTAAAAGTTGAAGTTGTCCCCTTGCTTAACTAATTCAGCACTTCGCCGCGAAGATGTATGGAGAAGTGAATGTATAGATCCATGTTTTCTTTACCTCGGCACTAGATGGAGCTTCACGCCCCTGCCGCTATACCCCCGGGGAAGGAGCACCCAATACCCATTGGATAGGAGGCTGGTTGGGCCCCAGAATCTATCTGGACTACAAGTAGAAGTGAAAATTTTTACCCCCCACCGGGATTCAAACTCCGGCCCTTGGTTGTTCAAATCGTAGCCAGTCGCTATACCGATTGAGCTATCCGGGGTCTGATTTTGTTCATTCAGTTTTTAATAAACATATCAATATCATATTCCATGTCAATTCGTTTAAGGGTTCTGGAGTTGTTACGTGTCAGCAGACAAACAAGTCGAAATTAACAGGCGTTAAAAAACAACTTTTTATTGCCAAAGAGGGGATGATAGGAAGGAATGATATTCATAATTCGGCCTAATTAACATCCCGGTCTTCACGTCCTAGTTACGAAACCGTAGTCCTGGGTTCGACTCAGCCTCTAACAGAAATGAGAACCATAGATCTTCCTGGCGGGTAAAGGGCGGCCGGAGCGTAAGGCTGACAATCTCACTACCATCCGTTGATTTTCCAGAAAATATAGAAGCCTCGACCTCTCTCTCACACCTCTACGAGCCTCCACGGTGTGTCACAAAGTAACTTTCCTTTTAATATATATATACATTTGTAACAGGAAATTATAAATGTAAACAAGTTTTGGCTCGTTATCAAAGAAAATTTGCAAAGATTCCCCATATCCCATTCGTCACTTCCCTCTGTACGTCTCCTCACCTCTGTGATAACCTTTCCAATGTACTTTACTGCCTGCGTACCAGCTGCCAAGGACTGTGGTCAGTTTATCGCCAAGAAGTTAAAACCGATGGTAGGCATGAAGCCAATCGACTTTTTGCTGTTTTCTTGTATTTTAGGTATCGTCAAGGGAACTCAGTCTGCTCCCAATTCAACATGGTGGCCATGCGAATCTCTCAGTCCATACCAAAATCTGCAGCTGGAACAGGTGAGGCTATTCCATTTCTGAATTTAATATAACTTTTGTCTGTGTAAAACATCTCTGAAGGGGTGTCATATCTTGAGTAGGCAATCTCATGGAAGGAAAGGCGCAAAGGGTTCTGGTAATTGTGTGGATTACTGGTTGTATTAAGATTTTGTCCATCATCGGATATTCTAGAGAACTCAATGTTTCGGAAACTGAGTCTGTTTCCGTCCTCATGCGAGGAGGTGCGGACACCTACTCTGTTGGGTCTGTTACAAAGAGCCAAGACGGACAGGACCGATGGCTTTATTAATTATGCACTATTCATATTAATTTTTGCTCTTTTTTTATTGCTAGTGGAGTGTCACTAAGTCCCTTGTACTGCGGCCACTTTTGGCCTATTGCACCAGCCCCAGATGATAGGTGAGGGTGATTGTGGAGCAATCGGTCAAATGAAGATTGACAGGAGAAACCGAAGTACTCGGAGAAAACCTGCCCCAGCGCAACTTTGTCCACAACAAATCCCACTTGACCAGACCCGGGATCGAACCCGAGCCGCCACTGTGGGAAGCCAACGACTAACCGCTTGAGCCATGGCGCGGTCAATTTTTGTTCTTAGTTTCTTTTCTAAGCTGAATTTCTGTAATTAGGAGCATATAGAATTCCGAGAATGCCGGCCACCTTTCAGTTCAGAATTTCGTTTTCCCCTCTCCTTTCTGGACATTTAAGAATTTAAATAAATGAACCTACTTTTGTGCCAAATGTAGAATTCTGAAGCGTTGGTTTTCAGTGAATGCTAGTTGCTTTGTTAAACGTATTTCGGCACACAGAATCAAGTATGGCTCGGCAAAATCTATACGTCTGTATGCTATAAATCTACGCCTTTCTTTTCCATCAGAAACACTGAACAAGGAACAGACGCGAACTTGCAACAAAGAAGTTATTCTGTCGCTGCTTCAATCACGAGGCTTCTGCTGCTTACCAGCAGACTTTTGCGCAGGTTGGTCACACAGAAAGAGCAAAACTCGACTCTGTTTCCAGTTCTACTGGAAAACAGAAGAACTGAAATTAGAATAATAGCATGTACATGGATTATAACATGATTTTAGTGACAGTGTGTCGCCCTCCTTCTGCCCCTCCCACAATGTAACTGCACCTATTCCCCCACTACTTCTCCCCATATTTCTCCTCACTTCTCCTCATGCGCAACATGCTGGCCAGGTCTAAGAAGAAAGACTGTAGCTGAGATATAACTGACTTCATTCCTACAGGTTCTCGGGCAGTGGTACTTAGTGGAGACGATATCGTCTCTACCTGGGCGTGTAGACACATGTGCCGGTATAGAGCTCATCCGTCCAGATGCTGATTCCTGGAGCAACTTGATTATGGTTGGTCAAGAATCTTCAAACGGAAGACCTATCGTCTACGAGAATCATACAATAGTCATACCAGACTCTGTGAACAGTCCGAGCCTCTGGGATCAACCAGGTATCCGTGGATAAGTCTTAAGAGCATTTTAGCCTCAATTATGAAACATTTACAATAAGATGTTGGAATTAAGGTTCTCGCACTGGTTTTCACGAATACAGTTTTCTGGGATGTGGCGCCATGTGATCGTATAGAAGTCTATCGAGGATTCGAAGAAAAGTACTTTCTGCATCTTCAGGGTTGAACGGTAAAGGAAGCAACCAGCAAGAAGCAAGCAAATAAGCCCCTTTCAGGACCTGCACTAGTTACAGTTTTCCTTAATCCCATTGGTTCACTCTGGTATTTTTCCAGCTCTATCTGAGCCAGGATTTCCGAGAGTGATTCCTCATATTTTCTTACGACTGACAAATGACAGACACGACCTCACGTCAGAGAAGGCGCCTCACGTGGACAGGACAGTAACTTTCGTATAAAAAGCAATATCTGGTCATGAGCTCCAGCTGAGGCTAGACACCAAGACAGAGAGACTGACTGACCGTCAGTTGCAACATAACTTTGACTTGACTTTGACATATTTGCTGCTGGTTTGGTTTATGTTTTCGATACTGAAGGTGAAGGCAGTACGCTCCTTCGAAATGTCGTTCAACTTCTATCGGACTACACGACGTCATATCCCACAAGATAGCATGCATGTGGTATGACAAGAGTTAAATCATTGCGAGTCATCAAACCTGAAAGTTTTGTTATGATTATGAAGTTTGTGTTTAATTGAAGCTTTATAAGTAGTGCCACTTCTTCGCGGTTAGGTTTTCTTCTGTTTTTGTTTTGCCCCCTTATGTTGACTTTGAGTCTCTTCAGAACTTCGAGTATAATGAGAAATGAAACATCGATTAATAGGAATGAATAATCTAGTAGGAAGCGAGAAAAATCGTGCAGTCTTCTGAGATACTTTTGGATCTTGAATGTGACGCCGTGTAGTCTAGTAGAAATTTAATCACATAATATATAAATGATATTTTCTTTATCAGATATCGATGCCGCTGTAATGGTAGTGGACGTTGGTCCAGCCAATGACACTTTGGCGCTTACAACCTGCCAGCGTTTTTTGGGATACGACTGGACAGGAGTGTTCAGCCGGGACATGAACTTGGACCAGATTGTTCTGAGCCTCGTGAACGAACGCCTGAGTAACGCTGGGCTGAGGAACAGCGACTCCGCAGTTGTCTCCAACACTACAGGATGTCCAGTCCCCGTACAGACAACGTAGGTGTGAACTGGAATTATTCAACCCACAGCGGCGAATATTCATAATATAGACTTGCTACAATGTGTAATCTGGTAGGTTGGTATAAACGTTTCTGTGGATCACATTGCCTCTACTACATACTCAATGCATCTACTTTAAAATATATACTTAAATATACTTAAAAATATTTAAAAAAGATAAAACTATCCCTGTAACAGGCAGTGGAGTCTCATAGGGCTGTGAGACGTCGAGGCTTCAACATTTTCTAGACAGTCGGCTCACAGATGGCGCTGAGGTCGTCAGCCTTGCTCGACGGCCGCGCTTTAACCCAAGGAAGATCCCTGGTAGTCATTTCTGTTAGAAGCCGAGTCGACCCCGGAATCGTAGTGCGGCTGGAAGGATTAGGTCTATTGAAAAATCCAGTAACCTCATTGAGGGTCGAATCCGCGACCTTCCAGCTTGTAGCATATTGCCTCAACCAACCACGCTACCACGCGCCCCTTCACTTTAATGGCAGATGGAATATACCTGGCACCACAACAGCTCAGTCGATATAGAGAGTAGGCTGCGAACTGAATAACCGAGCAATAGGAGTTCAATTCTATGCAGGGGGAGTAGATTTTCTCTCTTCAAAGCATCAGATAGGCCGTAGGGCACACCCAACATCTTATCTGTTTCGTACAGGGCTGGTTCCTCAGAAGTAGAGCTGCCAGGACGTGAAGGGGTGATCGCTCCCATCTAGTGCGGAGAATTAGTATACGTGGAGCTATACCTCCATGTACTCATAAGTTTTCATGGCGTTGTGCTTAATTAAGCACATGAACAACTTTATTTCACCTTTAACTTGACCGCATTCTTTCTTCGTGTGAAAACAGTGGCATCATGATCCTCAGAAATGTTGACGCCAACATACCAGACTATACGGTTTCATAACACTGAAGACCACAATATGAAATAAAGCTGGATTTACAAGACCATTTCCCAAATGTATCTGTAGGGCCTAAGTGTTTCTGCACTTGTGTAAAATGATGGCAACCTTTCGCTCTTTCGTAACTCAGAATGTACATTGTAAGTGATAAAATTTCCGAAATTGGATTTATTCTAAATTGATATTTTACCATATTTTTAAATATAGGTCTATAAAAGATTTTGTATTCTTTCTGAATTTTTGCCTCCTTACCTTATTTTAAAGAAATAAACCCAATCTTATGAGATCATCTTGCTGTCAGTGTGTGTCTCCCTATAAACTTTTGAATGTCTATACCGATCTTTGTAAAAATTAGTATGTATATATTGTCACTTGATGCCGCCCTAGCGACATATTTCATAGATCCCTCCCATCAATAATACCAACACTGCAACCTCTCTAATCCTTAAGGTAACACCCTTAATATTACTTGCATGCTTGCCTTAACTTGCCTTAACCAATCGTCATGAAATTTGGTATGTGTTTGATGCCACCTAAGACCGTCTGATCCGCACGCTTATAAATCTCTCCCATCACAAGTACCGAAACTGCAGCCTCTCAAATTGCTGAAGCATGCATGAATATCCGAATTAATAGTCACGAAATGTGTATATTTATCGTACCACCTAAAGCCATTATCTAAAGCAGTAACAAACTTTTCCTTAAGAGGAATGTAACGTAGGCTGAAGACGGTCGATATAATTGAATCTTATTGCCAAAATATGACGTTTATGTATTTGGCCACAGTTGAAAGTTTTAGTGGGAGGGAGGGAACATCTGGTTCTCTAAGTCTGACCGAATTTTGGTTTTACATTCTTTTATGTAGGCGTAAGAATTCGCCCAATATGTTGGCTGAAGAACGGTGTTACTCTGTTAAGGGAGCATTAACCTGCAATGCTATAAAATCACACATTCTACTAAACTTTGCCTCATAAATTAGATTTTCGTGCCATCTTCACAAAAATTTGCGTACCTATTCAATAATGTCTAGTCTTTTGATATCCCATATCCAGAATTATCTTATTCTGTAATTATAGTCTGTAATTGTTAATGACTTCTTATAAATGATTCAACACATTAGATAAACAATGTACCTTTTCTCATTAACTACTAAGTATCCAGGTCTTAAACTTTTTTTTTAATTTAGAAAGTAAGGGTATTTAAAAATTGAATCACTTAGAAATAGCATCTTGCTTCTCATTCCAAATTTAAAAATTTTTAAACAAATTATACAATTTTTTTATTAATTTTCTATTGTTATTATTTTTTTAAATGTTTCATTTTAATATTATTCACCCACCTACGTCTTGGTCTTCCTATTGGTCTCTTTTCTTCTGGCTTTCCCACCAATATCCTACATGCATTTCTCGTATTTCCCATTCGTGCTACATGTCCTGCCATCTCATTCCCCTTCATTTGATCATTCCAATTATACTTCTCGAAAAGTACATGTTCTGAAGCTCCACATTATACAGTTTCCTCCAACCTCCCTCACTTCACCTCTCTTCGGTCCAAATATTCTCCTCAGCACCCTGTTCTCAAATACTCTCAGTCTGTGTCCCTCCGTAATTATTGTGTTGGAATAATTGGTATCTGGTTAAGAGAAGAGGCTAACAGGAGAGCAGTAGAAGGATTGACCCTTATTTGGTGCCCCCTGGCATCTGTGCAAGTTAGAAATTGCATTTTGTGAACGTACTGACCGAGAGACGCGTGGGAGTTGGGGGGCAGAACACCTGAGCTCCCTTGAAATGTTGTCGGAGTGGTCTGGTATGCCAGCATGACTCCAGGCACAGCCAATCTCCTTTTGTGGTTTCCCACATCTCCTTGTGGTCTTACAATCATATAAGGGTAGCTTGATAAACCTTCGGTTACTGACAGACCGCCTGTTGGTTTTCTGTGAAGACTCTGATGCACTGTAGACTTCATTTTCTGATAATTCACGCTCCCTTCAGATACAGCAGGATCCAACAACTGTGTCTTTCCGCTGCTATGCTCCCGGAATGAGTTTTGCTGTACAATAGTGCTAGGAAGATCAGTCTCTTCATAAATTTCATATCCTTGCGTTTGATGCTGTCTGTACTTAGACAGATCACTCGTAGGATATTCTGGCCTGTATGCTGGGGTCCTCTTGTGTTGCTGGGGCCTGTTCTCAAGATTTTCCAAATTTCTCTGTGGATTGTGAGGTTGATTTTGTTCATAATTATCATGCAGAAGTAGAAGATCTTGGATATTTTTTACTCTGGCGTCGGATAAGTAGTTCCTTGATTCTTGCACCTGGAGGTCAGAATTCCATCCAGAGGGGCTCACAGTTTGCAGTAACGTACATAAAGAAGCGACACACAAAAGGAGGGACACCATTTTCTGTGAAGAAAATAAAACACATTGATATTGATCCAAGTCTATGAATTGTAAAACAATGTATTAAATGAATAATTATGTCTTCTGAGATATAACACGATGTAATCAGTTGAAATTCAACTGACTTCTCGGAAGAAAATTTCTTCTATATCTCTAGGGCCGGAGAATAAGCCAAAGAAGGAATCAGCTTGAAGCAGATAGCAAGCACGGACTCTTGGCTTATCCTTCGACCTGGAAGTTAGAATCGATATGTTCCTCTGAAACGTTGGTTGACTTTCAGCGGACAACATACCATTATGTCATAGAAGATGGACGTCTTCATAACCATCGCTGTAAGAACTTCAAATCTTATATAACTTACTATATATTTTGTACCAGGAAATAAATGCTTAAGCGAGAGGGTGGTGCTCGAGTAATGCTGTAGATTTGTATTCTGAAGGTGAACGTTTCAAACGTTGGAAGGACACCGTCTTTCGATTGAAGTTTTTTGTGGTTTTTCTCAATCTCTTCGGGTATATTTCAGGAAATTACTTTGCATAGACCACGATTGCTTTCTTACAGAAAGTTTCCAATTTATTATTCACCTATCATAGCACCATATGGCACCATACGAACAAAACAAACTCCATGGCCTGTAGTCCTCTAGCGAACTATACCGACTAAGAAACCGCCGCTTGTCGGCGAAGTTAGTGACAACTTTTGCGGACAGAGGGGGTGAAGTGGTCAGCGCAACGGATCCCCACCGCCGTTAATCTAAGTTTTCTAGACCGGAGCCGCTATTTCCTTGAAATAACTCCTCAATTATCCACACGAGGCTGAGTGAACCCCGTTCCAGACCCACTACTTCTCAGAAAATATGGTAGCGCTGGGAATTGAACCCGGGGCCTCTGGATCTGTGGGCAGGAACTCTGGCCACTAGCCCACAGAGGCGGTCTCTGTGGCCCCATATAGTCTGAGTTAGTGGGAGAGTCACAACAGAAACGAAAAGTCGGTTCTGACGTATATCAATACGTAGAAGCAGCTACTTTGCACTTTAGCAATGATGAAACATTGCGAAGTACGCGCATTACTTCCTCAATTTAGCTTTATTTATTATAATATTTATTCAGCGATGCGTTCGATCTCTCGGATTTTGAAGCGGCAAAAGGTAAAATGATCGAAACAAATACTGGGTAAATTTATGTAGCGTCTAGAGCCATTACTATTCAACGACCGTGAGATGGGCTGATATACAAGGTTCGTTTCTGGGCAACAGCTCGGTAAAGACGTTACCGCGGGAAGGGATACATATGCAACAGAGGAACTGTGTCTTCTACGTGGTCCGTGCTGAAATGTTATAAGCAGTGGACAAGGTTAGAATTTAGCTTTGTAAGGAAGTCTGTGAAGAAAATAATTTAGCCGAAGGCAGAGGAATAACCTTTGTTGGAGCCGTTACTAGGAAATGTCTAATAGCAGATGGAAAATACTAAACTGTATGCTCTTGTGAACTGCAAAGTGCGGAAATAACGACAGTGTTATAATTAATTGTAGTAGTCAATAAATCTATTCACCGATACAAACCCCGTCTATAGTCACACATACTACGTGAAAATAATTTTAAAAAATACTGAACTTGGACGGAAATGTTCGTTGCCAGTTTCAATGTTTTAACCCGGCACTAGCCTGGGAGAACTGATGAAAACAATGAAAACCCTTAATCAGAATATTCACTATCCCGTGCGGGATCTGAACAAGGAGCTTCCAGAATATGTCAGACCTGTTCAAACTTGAAGCACGTTGATCCTTGGCAATTAATTTAGCCATGTCTGTCCGTGTGTAACAGCGCGAGAAGAGCTGAAATACAATTGTCCTTATTGTAGAGTTTTATAAAATCTCTCGACACACTCAAATTTTGATTAAAATCGGAAAAAAAAAATCAGACAATAAATGTAGACCTGCGTACCTTCAGGCTTGAAAAAGCCAAAATAAACTCAGATGTCGCTGTTGAAAGGGTCACACTTCTGCTTTGTGGAGGCAAGTACCTGGTTTGATTCTCGACCCAGAAACAACTGTCAATATTCAAATTTTAGTTTCCCCAATTTTTCAAAATAAATGTTACGATATTACTTTAAAGTAGCTCACGGAATATCAAATTTTTTTAAAACTTACAAGCTTCTCATTCGACAATAATAACGTATGTAACTAATACAGCGTCACAAAAAATATAAGCTACAAAATAAGATACAATGGACCTACGCCTAGCTAGTGAGAACACACATACGACGGGGTCACAAACATGGACGCTGCCAAAGAAAAATAACGCGGAACGGAGAGAGACTTTCGTTCTCAAAGAAACAAGTTTTAGTGTGAACAGCAGGTCGCGCCATAGATCAAGCGGTTAGTCGCTGGCTTCCCACCGCGGCGACCCGGCTTCGATCCCGGTTCTGATGAAGTGGGATTTGTGGTGGACAAAATGGCGCTGAGGCAGGTTTACTCCGAGTACTTCGGTTTCCCCTGCCAATCTTCATTCCACCAATTGCTCCACAGTCACCCTCACCTATCATCTGGGGCTGGTACAATAGGCGAGAAGTGGCCGCAGTACAAGGGACTTGGTCCCACCCCACTAGCAATAACAAAATGGTGTGAACAGCGACATGCTTCAGCATGTAAATATTGTAACGTGTCTTGAGTTCGAATCCTGTCGGTCACGTGTGTAAGTCCAAATCCCGTTGGTCACGTGTGTAAGTCCAAATCCCACTTCTGACACCAGTTGTCACGTGTTGGGTGTATAACGCGACAACTGGTGTCAGAAGTGGGATTTGGACTTACACACGTGATCAACGAGATTCGAACTCAAGACACGTAACAATTTGGTGTCAGAAGTGGGATACGGACTTACACACGTGACCAACGGGATTTTGACTTACACACGTGACCGACAGGATTCCAACTCAAGACACGTTACAATTTTACGAGAGCGCTACGTTACCGCCACGTGCCGCTGGGGAGGTAGGGGACCTCCGTTGCGCAACATGTCACAATATGTTGACTTAAGATCTAGTGCAGTGCGACGGTTTCGTAGAGTGAACCATTGCCTGAAGATGGCCAAGTAGGATCGAAACATGTAGCAATTGATGTTTTTTAATAATTTAATATTTTAATGTTATTTTAAATTAAAAAGAGATTGTGAAGAATTTTAAGTTGCATCAATGCAAGAGGATGCTCAAATATATCATAAAAGAATAAATCACAAAATATAGACAGTTGTTGCTCTTAGGGTTTCACTGAATACATAGCTTAGGCTTTAGGGAATATGGCGCGTGGAATGTTGAAAGCTTTCCAACGTTTCGTCAAACGTTTAGTTGCCATCTTCAGAGTTAATAACAATGAAGAGTGTTTCACAGCTGGTATACGTCTCTAACAATGGATGAGAAAATAGACGTAAATGTGTTTGGATAAAGCAGACAGCGTCCCTCCCTCGCCACCCACCTAGAGATCTGTACAAGAACAGCGACCCAGCCTCCAGAGTCACTAACCTGAAGATGGCAACCGTAATATTTACTGAAATGTTGGAAAACCTTCAACATTCTACATTTTACATGCCTTAAGGCGCAGGTTATGCAGTTATTGATTCATTCATAAATGGCTCTACAGCCCTTTGTTGGGCCCTGGCCAAATTTTTACTTTCGTAATCCTATACACAATCAGTTGGACTCCTTGGACGGGGGATCAGCCCGTCGCAATGCCGCTACCTACAGACAGAATAAACGTACACAGATATTAATGCCTCGAGTGGGATTCTAACCCACTACCCCAGTTTTCAAGTGGGCGGAGACCGCACGGCCACTGTGATAGGCGCAATTTATGCAGTACCGCAAGGAAACTTTTAGAAGCTACGTGTGAGGACGCTTACCTTCACTGAGCAGCTGTGCAGAAGTTGTCAAGTCTTGTGCGGCGCAAGGCCCGGTAATTTCACTAATATATATCATGTTATGAGACCCGCATGTGTGGGGCCGCTCTCCCTGCCAAACATGAGGGCTTGTTGCTGTTTTACTTGGACATGGGGGTTAGAGTTCATTACCAGGGATCGTCAAAAATTTGAACGACTATATTTAAGTGTGCCACTTAAAGAGGCTATCTTTAGCGTCGGAAGATTGGATGAATCATGAATGATGAATTGGGAAGGATTTGGAAGAAAGCGATAGTGACCTAATAGACGTACATCCCGGCATATATAGGATGTCCTTAGAGAAAGTTCAATGTTCTAGGACGTCATAGTATCTGTCTTTCTAAGGAAAAAATTTATACACACATGTGTACCATTCCGAACGGTTTCCGAGATAGATAGAATTGTTGATGAGAAAGAGATATTACGTACTGCTTCTAATACCGGTATTTATTGTTCAAGTGACACAGTTACTAGTGTTCACCTAGTGTAATAAATTTTCGAAAATTTCATCGTCAACATCAATGCACTTCGCAACTCGTGTGAGGACATGGCGTGTTGCTCGTCTGTGCAGTGAAATAGATCTATCCCGGACACCGTTCGGAATAGGACAGACGTACATATACATTTTCTGCTTAGAATTATCGTTACTATGACCTCTCAGAATACTGACCTTTCCTCCTGGGACATTCTGTATGTGGAGTGCATCAGAAAACTCAAGAAATTTTTGTAGGATTTGAGGTTCTCACAGCGCTGTTTATGAAGAGTTCTATTTTCTGGGATATAACGCCGTGTATTCTTTTNGATTTGAGGTTCTCACAGCTCTTTTTATTAAGGTTTCTATCTTCTAGGATATAACGCCGTGTATTCTTTTAATAGTCGACCGACATTTCGGAGGGATATGGCGCCTCCATTTTCAAGGTAGAAGAATAAGGGAAGCAAGAATCCAGAGGGAAATTTTCAGGAGAAATATACGGTATTATATCAAAGGCGACAGGTTTCTTCATAAAATCTTCAGTCAAAATACCGCGTGCCCTTGTAGAAATTAGAGTGGAACGCCTCCCGGATGTTAATTTAGGTGGTTTACTCCAGAATACGCTTTTCGGATACAGACATATTTTTTGTTCTTTCCTTGGCACTACAGCCCCAGTGGGCCTAGGCCTACTCCATGAACTTCTCCGTTCACTTCGGTTTTTCTAGATCTTACACATTCGGTAGGACTCCTTGGGCTGGTGATCAGCTCGTCGCAAGGCCTCTACCTGTACACCAACACAGAAAAACGCACACACACAAAATAAACATCCATGCCCTGAGTGGGATCCGAACCCACGATCCCGGTTTCCAAGCGAGCGAAGACAGTACATGCCTTAGACCGCTCGGCTACCGTGACCGGCAGTGTATAAGAATAACATATAAGAATTCAGTTCGTACCTCACAGGAAACAGATCCGAACCCACGATCAAAGTTTCCGAGCGAGCGAAGACAGTGCATGCCTTAGGCCGCTCGGCTACCGTGACTGGCTCAGACATATTTACTTTCATATATTTTGCACGTATTTTTAGTCAAAAAATCTGCCAATTATTAATGACCCAGGATATTCAGTATAGCGATGGGAAACATTCTGTTCGACTGAGAAATCGGGGTTCGATTACAGACAGAGCAACAAATATTTTCCTTTTCCCCAGGAGCTCTCCAAGCCGGAAGGTCGCGGGTTCGATTCCCGATGAGGTTATTGGATTTCTCAATTGATCTAATTGTATTAAAATCACATGTTTCGTCCATTTTTATCTGGTCATCATCAGGTGAATACAAATACTTAATGATTGTTCAATTGAATTGCAATCGCTTTACTTCTCATATGGGTCCATATTTACAATGGTTTCTATTTTGTTACAGTATTAACATGGATAAAATCTACATATAAAGCGAAGTTGGTGTGTTGATTAAGTAAAATTGAACGACCCTATAGTGAACTATGCGGTCACGGTAGCCGAGCGGTCTAAGGCATGCACTGTCTTCGCTCGCTCGGAAGTCGGGATCGTGGGTTCGGATCTGTTTCCTGTGAGGTACGAACTGAATTCTTATATATTATTCTTATACACTGCCGGTCACGGTAGCCGAGCGGTCTAAGGCGTGCACTGTCTTCGCTCGCTTGGAAACCGGGATCGTGGGTTCGAACCCCATTCAGGTCATGGATGTTTGTGTGCGTTTTTCTGTGTTTGTGTACAGGTAGAGGCCTTGCGACGAGCTGATCACTCGCCCAAGGAGCCCTAACGTATGTGTAAGATCGAGAAAAACCGAAGTGAACGGAGTTCATGGAGGTAGGCCTAGGCCCACTGGGGCTGTAGTGCCAAGAGAAAAAAAAACTGAACTAGGGTAAACGAGTCTCAAGCTACAAGGGTATGATCCCTTATTCTGTTTGCTGTTCGGTGGCGAAGGTGAAAGAAACGAATGATGAACCAAGAAATATGCAGAAGAAATCAAAGCTTACGTTACTGCCATATCATGAAGACTGAGGCAGCAAATCACTCCGAAAGATCGGTGAACTTCTACCAGTCTACAAGGCTTTACGTCCCAGAAGGTAGTCGTCATTGTGAGAGCGTCAGATCCATTACTCTGTGAACCTAGTTCACACAGATTAGTTATACTGCAGAAGGATGGCTGGGAAGCCTTTCCCTTTTGTTCCATCGCAGCAGGGAATACGACGGCCTAATGATGTTTGCCTGTTACGGTATGGGGAACAGCGCTCTCCTATTCAAAGAAACCCCCAGTTGGAAATCTTCGGTTCCAGACGTGTCTACATGTTCTTATTCTCATCATCGGCAGCTTTCTAGCGTTCCACTTGTCTGAAGATGATAAGGGACACCGATCAGATCTAATTAACCAACCAGCAAACTACATGGAGCACAGAACGTCTTCAAAAGCTGATACTCGCTCAGCTGGCCATGAAATACTCTATTCTGTCTATGATGAAACTTGAAGGCTCTTTATTTTGGTCACAAAAGCCACCACTGAAACTTATATGCAAACACACGAATCCAGTCTGCAGATCCACAAGCAGTTAAACCTGTTCTGACCTCACACAGACACACACATTCCATTTTTTCGAGGGTCCCCCTCGGGGTCGACACCATTTTGTTTTTTGATGTAAAGTCTGTTTCGTTATTCTTTCATCTTGCATTTTAATCTGTCCTCAAAATTTGTTCTTGTGTATTTATTCTATTTTGTGTTGTTCGTACTTTCAGTTATTTCCTAGTATCGTTGTTCTTAATATGGTCTAAGTAATGCAAAGTTTCGCCGGTAACGGTAGCCGAGCGGTCTAAGGCATGCACTGTCTTCGCTCGCTCGGAAGCCGGGATCGTGGGTTCG